TTAGTCATTATTATTGTGTCTGGGTCTGATATTTACGTGGGTTAGACATGACGATAAGACTTATAATACATAGTAGCTTTATTATGGAAAGCATGGCATCTCTACAACATGGTTGCGGCAAGTAAGAACGCTCATCACCGGAAACATGCACATATTCATATGTAGTATGCATGCGTATAAATTACAGTTATTAAACTACGGAAGATAATTGTTGACATACTAATAATAATTTGTAAAGACATCACAATTATCATAATATAAACTTATTGCTGGTCTGTAAAGCAATCTTAGTCCCGAAATGACCTAGTTTGTGTCGAGTGGACGTTAAACCACATTTTTCTCTCTCTCTCTGTAAAGCAATCTGTACTAAACGCATAATGTAATATAACCAGCTGCATAATTTCTTCGATGATCCTTTGTCTAGAAAGGGATTATAAGCAGGAATCAAACTGAGATTATTCAGCGAAGGCGAGAGCGTCTGAGTTAAGACCGGACAGGGGCCATGTAAGTTAGTTGGGGGTTGGCAGTCAAGGGTGTCAAGCCAAGCTATTACCATGTCTCCCTCAACACAAGCTAACTACGAAGTCTTAAGTTTTGTACATGATATGCTTGAAGAAGAATAAAGGTAACAGAACACAGTTTTTATGGGAAAACAATCACTGGTTTTATTCTAATAGCACGACGTTTCGACAAGTATCCCCTTACCGTTATCAAGAACAATGACATTTAGTAAACTTGGGTTTAATATATAAGAGTTCATGATGAAGCCATTTACAAAAATTAAATAATAATAACAATAAGAAGTAAAAGATTAAGCAAAAACAACACAATATAATAGACCCGCGGTCCAACCAAAGGATACTATTGACCAACAATGTGCTTACTAATTAAGCAGTCCAGGAAATAAATGATGTTAAACAAATGTAAACCATAACAAAATATGAATAAACAATAAAAAACAATAAATAATGGGAATAAATAAGCAATATGAGGTGATTAAACATGTATAGGTTGGCAGGCTGATTGTGAGAAACCAGTAGAGTGATATATTAAGTAATGTAGACAGTTTGTAATACTTGAGGTAACGACGTAAAGTAAAGCCGCTGAATTAAGGAATTAGAACCCTTTAAGTGGTATTATTCATCCTGATAACGTCATCATATGCCCTTGAAATGTGAAGCCCTGCGTCCCTGTTCAGTTCTGGTGAGTATCTTCTAATGTTAATTGCTTCTAGGATTTTCCTGGTTTTATTGTTCTGTTGGTTGGATGTAAGAATCTGCACATCGTTCCATTCGACTCTATGCTGCGGGTGGTTTCGAAGATGCTCTGCTATGGCTGAGTTGTTGGTAGCAGGTTTGGATCTGTGTTCCGATATTCGTTTATCTAGGGGTCGTTTACTTTCACCAATGTATGAGAAATCACAAGAGCAGTTGACTTGGTAGACGACTCCCTTGGACTGAATAGGTAGGCTTGGCTTTAGTTTGCCATTCGCTTTCAGTATCTGTTTTAATGTGGTAGGGACAGAGAATGTGGTATCAATGTTGGACTTCTTGAGTAGGTTGCTGACTTGGTATGATAGGTTGCCATAAAATGGTAAAATTATTCTAATCATCTCTTTGGGCGTTTTTTGTTGTTTCTTTGATTTGTTTCATGACTAGTTCTGGAGGGTAGTTGTTCAAGTTGCAAAACACATGACGTAGATGATCCAATTCATCCTGCAGAAATTCAGGTTCACTAATGCTTATGGCTCTGCGTGTTAGGGTTGATATCAGGGCTTTTTTGATGTAGTGGGGGTGGCTAGAGTTGTAATTAATATACTGATCTGTATGGGTTGGTTTTCGATATATTTTGGTTTTCAATTGATTGTTAACTTTCACAACTTGAACATCTAAAAACGGTAGTGCTTCATCTTTTTCGGTCTCAATGGTGAATTTAATTCTGGGATGCTGTTTATTCAGGTGATCTAATAGGGTCATTGGTTCATCTTTTTCTTCCAGTACCACAAACGTATCGTCGACCTTGCGCAACCACATGATAAAGGTATTATATGAAGTTTAAACCAGTGTTGTCGTTGAAGAAACAAAAGGGTTGTTACATTCAAGATCCTTAGATAGTTGGAAATAGAAATAAGTACCACTGTCTGGGCAAAATTCCCCTCATAGGGCAATGCATAGCACATGCACATATTCATTTACCCGTTCAGTGCAGAACAGTAGGACGAACGCTCATTTAAATTTTTTTAATAAAGTAGGATGTTAAACCCCATTTTATTTCATTTCATTTCTGTTTAGCGTTACACCATGGTTGACACCTGAACACCGAGAAAGAGATTGGGCAAGCGATCGAACCCTTGTCTTGCCCAGTAGATTGTTAAACCCCGTTTGATTGTACATGGCCTCCCTAACACAACACTGAAGAAACTACAAAGAATTCAAAATTCTGCAGCCCGGCTTGTGACTCGGACACGTCTCCGTGAACATATCAACCCCATTCTTCGAGACCTTCATTGGCTTCCCATTGTACAAAGATGTCGCTTTAAAATTCTATGTTTAACCTTTAAATTAATTTTCGATCCTTCCACACCTGTGTATTTAAAAGAACTTATCTGCATACAAACAACTAAACGTTTAACAAGATCATCAGAAGCTATCAGACTCAACTTGCCAACTATAAAGTCCAACAAAACATATGGGGATAGAGCATTTATGCAGAGTGCACCAAAGGCTTGGAATGAATTACCTGTTACAGTTAGAAATATTGAAAAATATGACTCCTTTAAATCGTCGTTAAAAAACATTCTTGTTTAAAGAATATTACAATCAATTCTAAATGTTAAGTAATGTTGAAATAATTTACTTCAACTTCTACACACAACACTGTAAAGCGCGTTGAGATATTATTTGTATATTGTAATGCGCTATATAAGAATAAATTATTATTATTATTTTTAGGTTCGTGTGAACTGTTTATTATGTTTGGGTCAGATGTTAGAGTATATGGATAAATGGTTTGTTCTCGATGAAATCCTGCCATTATTACCCAAAATACCAACCAAAGAACCAGCAGTGTTGATGAGTATTTTAGGTTTGTACTAGCATGCTTCTGTCTAATCTGTCGAGCACATTAATGGAGATCTTATCCTTAAAATTTCTTAATAATCAAAAGTTTTCTGGGACAATATCTAAGTTTTCACAGCTTAATCTATGCTTATCCTTACCAAAATAATTTTGTTAATTACTCAACACTGCTATTGAAAGGAGGTCACGGTGGCTAAGTGGGTAAGACGCTGGTTCGCTAGCCTGGAGGTCTGGTGTTCGATCACTGCACTGGCTGAGAACGTTCATCCTTGATTTTCCGGCATGGTTCCCGCCTTGTCAGTGATGCAGGACGGACAGGGTCAGCATGTCTAGTCGTTCGGATGGGAGAAAACCGAGGTCCCTTGTACACATTGGTGTGCACGTAACAGATCCCTTGACAGTTGGAATTCGATATAAGAGTAGGCTGTAGTGCCGCTGTCTGGGCAAAATTTCCCTCATAGCACACTGTATGGCGTATGCCTGTCTTCATTAGCCCAGTTCGGAGCAGAACAGTAGGACATTAAACCCCATTTCATTTCATTTCATTTCTGCTGGTAAAAGTAAACAGTTGTAAACCCAACACAGATATTCTAAATACAGACCATTTTAAACTATGCAACAATAAGAACCCAATCTTTTTTGATGATTTTCAACAAATTTGAACAATTTGCTCACAGGTTTGAATCTTAATCTTAAATACTGAAACTCCTGCTAAAACAGCACAACTAATCAAACTAAGCTCATGCTTGAGGCATCATTGAACAGGGAGCACAATTTAGAGCATCATTGGACAAAATATTTAAAGGAGCTAAATCGCTATATAATATTTGGGACCTAGAAATTGACACAAATGGGTCGCAACGCATATAATAATGTAATGTGAATGTATATAAACTGATTTACATTCAACTGTTTCTGTTTTTACTGTAATTTCTAATCAGTTATGTTCGGCGAAACACGCCAGAAGTCTCAATTGAATGGCAATCTTCAGCGTCTGGTTATTCCAGTCTACACCGATGATATTTATTGCGCATGCTCTCCAGATAAGAACATAGCGTCACCATTTGACATGACTTGTGGAATGTGTCTAGCCACGTTCTTTGAGTCCCTTGTTCCAAATGGCGCTGAAATGCATTATGGTACACGATTCGTGTACCAATGGTAAAATTTTTATTTTGTTGTGGATATTGGATATCAGAAGCCCATCTTTTCCCGGTAAGATCACAAGACCAATGTTGATTTAAATTGACTAATAATTCGTGTTTTCAATGTCGAAGATTTTTGATGATATTGAGTTAGAGACTTAGCTACTTTAATTTAAGAATAAAGAACTTTTAAACTGTATTTATTGTTTGAAATCGAATGTAACGGACAAGTCTTCACTCTTCCTTCCAGCTAATTTCACTGCCCGTCAATCAAGATTAATGAACCAAGAGTTTGTCAGTCTGCTTTTTCAAATCCAGATTGAAAACTTATCCGTTCATAGATAGAGTACGATTATGAATAAAATTAAACCAAAATGTGTAAATTTAATTATTATTATTATTTTACCAGGTATTTATAAAGTAGCGTTCAGTCATGAGAAACTAGGAATGACTAAAGATGTTATGTCCAACAAGATTCTACCATATCTTATACCAGTTTGTATGGATAATGGACTCAACCTAGCACAGGTAAATATAAACATTGTATTAGGGTTGGGCGATAATGGACTCAACCTAGTACAGGTAAATATATACATTGTATTAGGGTTGGGTGATAATGGACTCAACCTAGCACAGGTAAATATAAACATTGTATTAGGGTTGGGCGATAATGAACTCAACCTAGCCCAGGTAAATATATACATTAGGGTTGGGCGATAATGGACACAACCTAGCACAGGTAAATATATACATTGTATTAGGGTTGGGCGATAATGGACTCAACCTAGCACAGGTAAATATAAACATTTTATCCATTTTAAAGATGCATAATGTAAGAGCTAAATCTGCCTATTGTATACAATGATATTCTGTAGTGTAATGTATCCTATGATATTTTGTAATTTAATGTATACAATCATACTTTGTAGGTTAAACATACATTATGAAAGAGCTAAATCTGTCTAGTGCAGGTCTTTCTTTAGGCTTGAAATGTTATCTAAATTGTTAATTAGACATTAATTAACTTATCCAGACCATAATCAACTCTCGATGTCATCGCTAGCCTGCGATATTTACTGGATTAGAACCAGATCTGAAATGTTATCTAAATTATTAATTAACTTATCAAGACCATAATCAACTCTCAATGTCATTTAATTGCTAGCCTGCGATATTTACTGGATTAAGATCCGATTTGCTGCTCAACTTTCATTCATGATTTAATCATGAAATGTATAATCGAGACTGTCTTTTATCGTACTGACTTTAGTAATGATGATCGAGGCTAGGCCAAAAATTCAATTGCGAAATTCTCAGTTCATAGTGGATCAATTTGACTGAAATTTTCAGCAAATTGCCTTTACATTGTCTAGTTTTTAACTATTATAATGAGAACTGCCAGCTCTTTATCTAATCTCTCATAATATATCTTTAATTAAGAATCTACAATGATATTTTGTAGTTTAATGCGTACAATGATATTTTGTAGTTTAATGCGTATATGACGTTGGTAAAAGAGATGTTATGTAAAGTAGAAACTGAACAGAGAACCAAGTTAGAACAGCTAGAACAGATGAAGCAAGAACAGAAGTAAGAATTTATTATTAAAGCTCGTTTTTCTTTTTAATATACTTATCTCGTATAAAATTAGTTTTAGTTATTTGGAAAACTGCATATATGACTGGATCTTTGCATTATTAACTAATTTTAAATTGTTTTCAGTTAGTCATTTGGATGGGACAAAAAACCGAGGTCCTGTGTACATATTGGTGTGTACGTAAAAGAACCCATGGCAGCTGGAATTCGATATAAGAGTAGGCCGTAGCGCCGCTGTCCGGGCAAAATTTTCCTCATAGCAGACTGTATGGCGTATACCTGTCTTCATTAGCCCAGTCGGAACAGAACAGTAGGACGTTAAGCCCCATTGGAGAAAGGAAATAGGTGATCGGTAGAAACCTCCTTGAAGTGTTTTCCTATTTTTTGGACAGGTTCATGCGGTACAATTCATGAAATCATGCATATTGTATGAAAGATGTATTTTGCCGAGTGGTTAGCCTGCGCGCGTTGTATCATAAGGTCTGTCATTGAGTCAACTGGCGTGGTTTCGATTCCACGGTTGTACACGTAACAAGGATCGCCTGTCCAATCTCATGGGTCTTCCGGGTCCCCCCCCCCCCGACCCCACTGCTAAAGACCCCTGTGCGCAAGTGAATTATGGAAATAAAATTGAACCATATGTTAGTCCCGAATAAACCTAGTTGGTGGCGAGTGGAGGTTAAACTCTGTCTCTGTCTCTCTCTCTTTCTTTCTTTTGGATAAATAAATAGATCAAATTTAAATTGTTTCAGATCCATAGAAATAACAAAAATAACACCTACACCAGATCCTAAAACATTAGTCAGTCTTGGAGACAACAAACCTAAATCTATGGTAATCTATAATCACTGTATTGCTTTATTTTCTTTTATGTTAAGGAATTTAATCCTTTATTTTTAGGATTTATTCCTTTTGGTAGAGGAATTTATTCCTTTATGTTTAGGAATCTATTTCTTTATTTTAAGGAATTTATTCCTTTAGGTTGGGGAAGGTTGAGGAATTGTGTTCAGGAATACATTCCTTTTTTTTGAGAAATTTATTCCTTTTTTTTGAGAAATTTATTCCTTTGAATTGAGGAATTTATTCCTTTGAATTGAGGAATTCATTTCTTTAGGTTATGGAATTTATTCTTTTGGGTTTTCTCGGCTTAGAGTGAAGCAATTTGATTGAAATTTTCAGCAATTTGTTTGGAATTTTCAGCAATTTGTTTGAAATTTTCAGCAATTTGTTTGAAATTTTCAGCAATTTCACTGAAATTTTCAGCAATTTCACTGAAATTTTCAGCAATTTCCCTGAAATTTTCAGCAATTTCACTGAAATTTTCAGCAATTTTCAGCAATTTCACTGAAATTTTCAGCATATTCCCTTTACATTATCTAGTTTTTAACTGTTATAGTGAGAACTGCCAGCTTTTTATCTAATCTTCCTTTAAGTTATCTTGAATAAGGCTCCTGATCGATCTGATTAAAACACAGATCCTATTTTGTTTCGTTTTTTATAGTTCAAAATTTCCTTTTACTTGTCTTTACTACACTAGGATCTGGAAGAGTTTTTATTTAACCCATGTTCTGGTTGATGTGAGGGATTAGCCAATAAAACGGTTTGTTACGAGTTCTTAGCGTGTGGTGCACGGAACTGTGGGTATCTCACTAGAAACATCATTGTTGATTGGTTAATCACTGTCTGATGTCATAGGGTCAAAAGCTGCTCGTATGAACCCTGATGCGACCTTCCACTACAACCGATCAGATCTTCATGTCGTGGAGGCCATTGAAAGTAGGGGGGTTGGATGGCTGAATGGTTAGCACGTGCGTGCTGTATCATAAAGTCTGTCATTGAGTCAACTGGCGTGGTTTCGAATCCCCGGTTGTACGTGACAAGAAGTAGGGTCGCCTGTCCAACTTCGTGGGTTTTCTCTGGGTCCTCCGGTTTCCTCCCACTGCTAAAGACCCCTACGCGCAAGCGAATTATTGAAATAAAATGAAAACCATATGTTAGTCCCGAAATGACCTAGTTTGTGTCGAGTGGACGTTAAACCCCATTTCTCTCTCTCTCTCCATTGAAAGTATAAAATAATAAAACGAAATATAGATCTGTATTTTAATTAGATTTCTCCCTGATTGATGTTTTTCTAATTGTTTGTTTATGTAGATGAGCCAGTTTTTAAATGGGTTTGGTATAAGTGGAATGATGAGTGCCTCCTCCCCGAAAGAACCAGAGAGTTCTCCTAAACCAGAACATCCTACTGTTACCCCATCAGCTCCTACACCACAGAAGGTTTGTACCAGTGTTCTTAATCCATTTTCAAACAGGGGGCAGGGGTTGGATGGACAAATGGTTAGCACATGCGCGTTGTATCATAGGTCATAAGGTCTGTCATTGAGTCATCTGACGTGGTTTCGATTCCCCGGTTTTATGTGACAAGGAGTAGAGTGGCCTGTCCAACCTTGTGGATTTTCTCCTGGACCTCAGGTTTTCTCCCACTGCTAAAGACCCCTACTCGCAAGCGAATCATTGAAATAAAATTAAACCATATATGTTAGTCCCGAAAACACCTGGTTTGTGGCAAGTGGACATTAAACCCCGTCTCTCTCTCTCGCTCTCATTGTCAGTCAAATGAGGTCCAGTTAAATGAGTCCGGTAGGAAATAGGTTAATTATAAGCTTCCATACCCTGTAAGAAGAAATTGAGGGGAGCCACATTAGTTGAGTGATAGGACAGTAGCTTCTGGAGTGGCACCTTCAGGGCTGGCAAGGAAAGGGTGGCTAGAGGTTCAGATGGAACAAATAACGGAAGTCTACCCATTGTACACAGTATCGTTACCAGTGTCCATTTGTCTATTGGTCAAACTGTTAGTCTGTATTTCCATTCAGTAATAGGTTCCCAACATAAATATACCCTTTTAGTAATAGGTTCCCATCATAGGTTTCCATCATAAATATACCCTTTTATTAATAGGTTCCCAACATAAATATACCCTTTTAGTATTAGGTTTCCATCATAAATATACCCTTTGAGATAAGAATTTAATTTTCATATTCTACCTTTTACTTTTCATTTTCTACTTTTGATTTTTTTGATTTACTACTTTTTACTTTTCTATATTTTTGCTTTTGATTTTTTACTTTCGTTTTTTTTTTTATTTTATACTTTTGCTTTTTTGATTTACTACTTTTTACTTTTCTATTTTTTTAGCTTTTGATTGTTTATTTTCGTTTTTTTGATTTTCTACTTTTTACTTTTGATTTACTACTTTTTACTTTTCTATTTTTTTTTGCTTTTCTATTTTTTTTTTGCTTTTGATTTTTAATTTTTGTTTTTTTGATTTACTACTTTTTAGTTTTCTATTTTTTTGCTTTTGATTTTTTATTTTCATTTTTTTGATTTTCTACTTTCGATTTTCTACTTTTTTTTACTTTCTACTCTAATTGCATTTTGAACCCGATATTCTATGCCTGGAATAACTTGAGGTCTGAAAGTAGGGGGCGGCTTTGAATATATACAGGGAAATTTGGGGTTATTCTTCTGAAAGTTTTTCTTTAAACCTGTAACAGGTTATTCTTCCAGGGTAGGTTTTTTTCCATAAGAAAACATGATCTAAGGTTTTTCTAATGGGAACTCTGGGATATTCTCATTTTGCGTACATGTAAACATAGACGGTTTATAAGCAAGATAAAGTCCTCGACTTAGGTTATGCTGGAGAAGAAAGACCTCAGAAAAAAACCTTTGACAGAAAAACCTCGGCCTGCTGGCCTTGGTTTTTCTTTTTCTCAGGTTATTTTCTTCAGTCTTTCTTTCCCCAGCATAACCTCAGTCTCATGATTTATCCTACACATAATTTAGAGGTTAAAGTAGTTATCTGATTGACTTATACTTAGTGTTGATGGAGGGCCTGATAAAGACAGCTGTCTAGTCCTTCGGATGGCACAAAAAAACGAGGTTCCATGTATACATTTGTGTGCATGTTAAAGATCCATTGACAGTTGGAATTCGATATAAGAGTAGACCATAGTGCCACTTCCCGGGCTAAATTTCCCGCATAGCACACTGTATGGCGTATGCCCATCTTCATAAGCCCAGTTCGGAGCAAAACAGTAGGACGTTAAACCCCGTTTCATTTCATTTATCGGTTTCCTCCCACTGCTAAAGACCCCTACGCGCAAGCGAATTATTGAAATAAAATTAAACCATATGTTAGTCCCGAAATGACCTAGTTTGTGGCGAGTGGACGTTAAACTGTCTCTCTCTCTCTCTCGCTCTCTTTGAACCACGTCCTTTAGTGACTTTTGTTAACCAGTTTGATTTATTTATTATTGTAAAATTTGTTTCAGGTATCCTTGTCACTGGAAGAGAAACAGAGGCTGGCGAAATCCCAGGAAGATCACAGAAAGTTTAAATCGCAACAACCATTAAATCCTAAACAAACCGACACAAAAAGTTTACAAAATAACCAACCACGTGATCTTACTTCCTCTCTCATAGACTCAAATATCAAAAATATGAACAAAACCAGTCTAAGTTCTTCAACAATGTCCAGTGCAGGTGCATATATGGGAGGTAACTCTGGTGGTTACATGGGAAGTAACTCTAGTACAACTTCTTATATGGGAAGTAACTCTAATACAACCTCCTATATGGGAAGTAACTCTTCAACACCTGCCTACATGGGAGGTAACTCTGCATTTGGAGCAGGTAATTCAGTGAATGGAAGTAGAGCAAATGCTTCAAAATCTGTTGATTTGTCAGCATTTGATAATCTTCTTCCAAATAAACCAAAGAAATCTTTAAACGAAATGAAAAATTCCCAAAGTGCTCAAAGTTTTGGACAAAATCAGAGCATGGGAAATATGGGTATGCCTAGAATGATGGGTAGTCCTGCACAACAAGGTATGATGGGTAATCAGGGTATGATGGGATATCAGCAAAGTATGGCTACCGGAGCTTTTGGACAACCACAACAATTTGGTCAAATGGGTGGAAACCAAATGATGTATGGACAGCAAAACATGATGACATCTCAACAAAATATGATGACATCTCAACAAAATATGATGACATCACAGCAAAATATGATGACATCATCAGCAGCTATGGGTTCTAATTTTATGATGCCTCAGACCATGTCAACAAATCAGAAAGTGAACAATTCCAACACCACTGACTTATCCGATATTTTTGGATGATAGGCCTATGTTATATTAAGTGTCATATGAATTATATGTGCAATATTTATGGATTAATGTTATTCAGTAATGACTGTTATGAAATGTGATTGAAATCTTCTCTAGTGGGCTTAAAATAAAACTCCATTAGAGAAGTAGGCCTAGACAGCCATTTGCGACATAATTTTGTTATGGAAAGGAACCTATAATGAGTGAATGGAACGGCCCTTTTAATCTAGACAGAGGCCCTGTGATTTGAAAGGAATAGCCAATAGAAATGAAATGCAATGTGGTTTAATATTCTATTATTCTACTCTGACATATGCCATACACAGTGTGCCAGGAGTTAAATTATGGCATCATGGTGCAATGATAATGCATTTACCTTAATTATCGAACACATTAAAATAAGCAGACCAGTTCTATCGAAGTCAATGACTGAGTTTTAGTTAGAGCTTCACATCTACACTGGTCGATTTCAAGCATAAGGTAACGAGAATCATTGAAGACAGTAACTCTGATTAAAGGACAATATTGGTGTCAGTCTATTTTTCTCATGTTCTCTTATCTAGTGACATTCAATTACTTTTTTGAATTGTCAGATATCCACTCACAGTCTCACATAACAGCTTTTGGTCTTCGAAGGAACTGTTCGTGAGCAGAAATTCACCCATGTATCTGTTATCACTTGTCACTTCAGTCAGTTATATAGAAGGATGACTCATGTTTTCCTTTGTGTTTGTCACTTCCTTCTGTAGAAACCTTCATTACGCATCTATTGTAGCAATGATCTCTATGTTAAAATTATAATTGGAACGTGTTTAACCAGTTCTATCACATACGTTAAAATGACTGACACCAATATTGTCCTTTAAAAATACATTATGTAAGATTTAAATAGAGCTGACCATTCTGGCTATAATAGCTCAAAAACTGATAATGTAAAATGAAAATATTGAAAATTTCATTTAAATTACTCCATTCTGTGCCAAGTTATCACCGTTTGTAGTTTTGACAAGATGTGTGCATAGTGGTAACCAGAGCACTGGTATATTCGAGACTTAGTCTCGCTTTCCCATTTTTAAATTAAATTTTTAAATGCCGAACAGTTCTAATATAGTTAAAATCTCAAGTATCTGATGCCATTGAGAGTTGATTATGGTCTTGTTTTGTTAATTAATGTCTAATTAATAATTTATATAACATTTCAGTCCTAAAGAAAAACCTGCAACAGGCAGATTTAGCTCTTGCACAATCTATGTTAAAAATTCAGTCATTCTCATCCATAGAATTGTTGAGATTAAACTAAGTGTTTGTCATATTATCTAGGCTGTAATATAAAACTGTGTCTGGCCATGATAAACTAGATTACATGTATATTAAATTATCTTAATACTTTCATATACTCTGTACTTAAAACAGTCTTCATAGAAAAGGGACAAGATATAGTCATAGAAATTACCCTCCCTCTGCCAAAATAATGTGGGATACCTATAAGGGTCATAGAAATTACCCTCTACCAACATAATGTGGGATACTAGGGTCTGTATTTAAATACAATATATTTTATATTCTTTGAATGGCATTTAGCAATTTAGACGTTATCAAATAAACTCTATTTATGGAATAACGATTACTGTGACGTTTCAGAAATGACTTGTGAAATCTTGTTTCAGTGGTGTTTAGTAATTGAACTGGAAAATACAGGTCACAATTCTATGGAATACAATTACTGCTTATTACTGATAATGACTAGAGAAACCTAGTCGAAATGTCCCTCAGTATAAGCAGTAATTGTATTCCATAGAATTGTGACCTGTATATTGTGAAATCTTGTTGAAATGTGGCGAATTCCATAAAAAAGTGTTTAAATTTAGAATATATTTTAGATCAATACTTTCATTAGTCTTTAGAATTTATTATTTCAATTCATGATAACAGAATAATTTGAGGAATCGGATAATAATATAACTTGACGATTCTATACTTTCATTGATCTTTAAATCAAGATAATAAAATAATTTGATGAATCTATAATTATTTGTTAATCCTACTGATCCTCATTTCTGTTTTTGTGAAAGTATCAATTTCTTTGAAGATTAAAGGAGCTAGACCACTAACTCAATATTTGCTATAATATTCAAAATTAAAAACAGGAATTATAATTCAACATTGGTCCATTTCAATCAATATTGATGTTGTTATCTTACCAAATATGTGATTCTAATATTTAAAGCCTCGTTTACACTTTCCCCGCGATAAGTGTGCCGTTCTTGGCCAGGCCACAATAAATTTTAAGAAATTGATCCGTTTACATTACTCTAACATAACCGGTCTCGGAACCGTGCCAGGCAGGCCAAATGTGGAACTCTTCACAGAAAAGTTAATTTCAGTCCCTATGCAAATTACCCGGATGAAAACAATTATCGCATTTGATTTAGTTTGAGCAGCCATTTTGACAGAACTGTCAAAGTTCACGGGGGAAAAAAGTCAAGGTTCATTTGGCGCACGCGCAGTAATCCGTACTGAAACCATGCTCAGACCGGATAGCGTTTACACTACGAAAATTTAACAGTGCCGTGCCTGGCACAGTGCCGAAAAAACCTCACTTCATTGGGCTAAATGGGAATGGTACTCAGTAGGGCAAACTTATATGTTTGACCTGTTTACACTGCAAAAAAAATTAACTATGCCTGGCACGTCTAAAATTTGTAATGTAAACAGGGTTTAAGACACAATGAACATTTTAAAATCAGACACGACTCCTGTATTCTATGGACATGTCAGAAGACATAACACTCTTGCTGGCTTGACAACTCCAGAAAATAAAAAAATAGCCTTATTCTAAGTACTAGATGTGTTGGCGTCCTACCTGTTGTGTAAATTATCCATTAAATCCTATTTTACTTGTCCAAAGGGTTCAAAAATATTTTTAAATCCAAGTCACATTTGAAAAGCTTTACGTCAGGCTTTTCAAATCATTTAGTTGAATTTTTCCAATTTTTTAAATTAGGTGTGTTAAGATGAAATTTGTATCATCAATTAATTGGAATATTGTAAAATAGTACAATTTGTTGACCAGAATAAAGATTGGGACATATTATTCAGTTACAACAAGAGTGGCTTTGAGCCTTTAAGAGCTGGGGGACATCACATCGCCAATGTAATTAATTACATTACCATTACTTTTTAAATGTAATCATCACAATTACTTTCTTATTTTTAGCAATGTAATTAATTACAATTACACATCACATTAAAAGTAATTAATTACCATTACATATTACATTGAAAGTAATTAATTACCATTGAAAGTAATTAATTACCATTGAAAGTAATTAATTACCATTACACATTACATTGAAAGTAATTAATTACCATTACCCATTACTTTATGACTATATAAATATAATGTTTTATAGAAATTAAAAAGACAATGTGAAAGTAATTAAAGATGGCTGATTCACGAACAACAAAAATAAAAACCCATGTAGAATGGATTAATCAGGCGCAAATGACTGCCGTTCCGTTTTAACTGTTCGTGTATTTCGTCGACCATAATTGATTAGAAATTACAGAATAAACAATGTAAATCAGGTTATATACATTCATATTACATTATTATATTCGTTGGGACCCATTTGCGTTAATGTCTAGGTCCGAAATATTAGCGATTTAGCTCCTTTAAAGATCCATATAAAAGAGCTATACATCCTTTAATCACAATAAAATATGTACATTATATTTAATCATAGCTCACGTTTTATAATGCTACATTCCAAATAAGCTGATATAATTTAAATGTTATTTAATAAATAAATTATAATACCTGTTGTTATTAAAAGGGAAGATACTCTACTTCTGTTTATGTTGTATTTTGTAGGGGGGTTGGATGGTCGAATGGTTAGCATGTGCACGCTGTATCATAAGATCTGTCATTGAGTCAACTGGCGTAGTTTCGATTGCCCGGTTGTACTAGTTTCTTTAGGAACTGTCTCTGATCGGACTACGTCAGCGGACATACGGTTGTACGTGACAAGGAGTAGGTTCGCCTGTCTAATCTCGTGGGTTTTCTCCGGGTCTTCCGGTTTACTCCCACTGCTAAAGACCCCTAGTACCACCGTTGTTCAAACTTGAAGTTGGCTTTATCAAATAGATTTAACCGCCAACATGTTTATGTGGTCGTATATTGTAATCACCCATTCGGTCTGTCAACACGTTATATTCAGCGCTCTAGGAGGGTCTACAGAAATGAAATGGGGTTTTAGGTCCTACTGTTCTGCTCCAAACCGGGCTAATGAAGACGGGCATACACCATACAGTGTGCCATGAGGGAAATTTTGCCCGGACAGCGGCACTACGGCCTACTCTTATATCGAATTCCAACTGTCAAGGGATCTTTTACGTGCACGCCAATGTGTACACGGGACCTCGGTTTATCGTTCCATCCGAACGACTAGACAGCTGTCCCTGTCAGGCCATTCGTCCTGCATCACTGACAAGGGGGAACCACGCCGGAAAATCTGGATGAACTAGGGTCTACTAGGTTATCAGATTGTGCGCATGTACGAACTGTTCTTGGAGCGTGACAAAATTGCAAATCAATTAAGAATAAATAACTAAGAAAGTTTGTGACTAAATTGTGACAAAATAATTATATGGTCCTGATTTCTTTGTGATGCACAAAATAGGTCCATGCTGCCTCTGTTAGAAGAAAGAACTGGGGTTCTAATGATATAATTTACCAACTGTTTTCTTAGAATTTAAAAATACATTATGTAAGAGCCAAATCTGCGTATTGCAGGCCTTCTTTCTAGCTTCAAGCGGGAGGTTGGATGGCCGAATGGCTAGCATTTGCGCGTTGTATCATAAGGTCTGTCATTGAGTCAACGTGGTTGTACACGTGACAAGGAGTAGGGTCGCCTGTCCAACCTCGTGGGTTTTCTCCGGTTCCCCCGGTTTCCTCTCACTGCTTAAGACCCCAATGCGCAAGCGAATTAATGAAATATAATTGAACCATATGTTAGTTCCGAAATGGCCTAGTTTGTGTCGAGTGGACGTACCCCCCCCCCCGCGCTCTCTCCCACTATCTCCCTCTCTATAGTTTCCTTATTGAAGTAGAATAAATATTTTGGATCTGGAATAAAATTTGCATTTGTATATGAGTGTACTACATGTGTTCCTTAATCTACTGTGTAGAATATTAGATTTCCTCGTGTCTTCTAAATAATGTTTAGGAGGGCGACGAGAACCATAATTATCCAGTAGTCTTTTATATACTCTTCTTTGTTTTATTAGTTCCCAACCTGTTTATTTGTCTAAATTACAAATGCTACGATAGGATGAAAGACTGTTTACCATGCTTGCTGCCTCCATTTGGACTTCTTCTAAAATTGGCCGTATAAATCTCAATCTGATTAAAACACAGGTCCTATTTCGTTTCGTCTTTTATAGTTTAAAATTTCGTTTTACTTGTCTTTACTGCACTAGGATCTGAAAGAGTTGTTATACAACCCGCGTTTTGGTTGGGGCGAGGGAGTAGCCAATAAAACGGTATGTTGCGTTGAGTTCTTGGCGTGCGGTGCACGGAACTGTGGGTAACCCACAAGAAACATCAACGCTGATTGGTTAATCAAATATCTGACGTCATAATAAAAACGGGCTCGTTTCACCCCTGTCGCGATATCCCCAAAAAAATGGACCAGATCTTCATGTAGTGGAGGCCATCGAAAGTATGAAAAAACGAAAGGAAATATAGATCTGATCGTATTAAACTACTATAACTCTTTCCTAGGTATTCTTTACTTAATTTATATTTTAATTAAAGATACATTATGGGAGATTCGATAACGAGTTGGCAGTTCTCACTATAATAGTTAAAAACTAGCTAATGTAAAGGCAATTTGCTGAAAATTTCATTCAAATTGATCCTCTATGAACAAAGAACTAAGCGGTTGAAATTTCCGGCTAGTCTTGATCATCATTACTAAAGTCAGTACGATAAACAGCATAGTCTCGATTATCCATTTAATCGTTAAATCGTGAAGGAAAGTTATGTAGTAAATCGGCTCATAATCCACTAAAGATCGAAGGCTAGCGATGCCATCTAGAGTTGATTATGCTCTGAATAGGTTAATTAATGTCTAAATAATAATTTAGATAACATTTCAGGCCTAAAGAAAGACCTGCACGAGGCAGATTTAGCTCTTGCATAATTTATGTTTAAAGTAGGCAAGTCAATATCATCTTCGACATTGCAAACACGACTTATTGGCCAATTTAAATCAACGTTGATTTTGTTATCTTACCGTGAAAAGGCGGGTTTCTGATATCCAATATTTAAGACAAAGTGAACATTTTAAAATTGGCACACAGAAGAAGACTACCGGCGTAGACTGGAATAACAAGACGCCAATTGGGACTCTTCGCGTATGTCACTGAACATAATTAGAAATAACAGTAAACACCTAAACGATTGACTATAAATCAGTTTATATACATCCATATCACGCGTTGCGAAGCATTTGTTTCCATTTCTAGGTACCAAAGAGTAGCGATTGAGCTCCTTTAATTTTCTTAGTGTCACAATTGGCCGTTGGCCAGCCGACAACAGCAGTTGCTGATATCCTTATTGTTTGTATTGAATTTCTCAGACGGACAGTAAATAATGTTTGTAGCCTCATTTCTTGTAGATGACAACAGTTATCGATGTAGAAGATGTATTCAATATCTCCGATAAAAGAAAAAGACATTTGCTTTGACAGAGATGTTTACAAGACCAGTGCCGTGTTTTCCATGGTATTTAAATTCAATTGAAATATTGCGAGGGCTCAAGAAGGATTAACATCTGACATACGGGGATTCGGTAACACCAAATCTGAAATTGAAGAGAGGAGGATAACGGAATTTTAATATCAATGTCATGGATATTTTCGTGTGGATAAAATTAACAGTCTTTGTCTTTGTATTCAATGGCCCAACTTTCACCAGTCCGGATTATCCATCCAACAGAGGATCGTCATCATCGTGGAAAAATGGAAGACAAAAGACTTCATCCTGGCAGAATTACGGAAGCTCCTTTGGAAAACTGCAAAATCAAGCAACTATTTTGCCGACAGAAGTCGATACAGCGCTCACCTTTACTCAGCCAAACCCGACTTCCGTTTACCCGCCAGTCTTTGTGCCGCCATATAACGACCCAAGCTATTCTCGAGCAACAGACCCGCTGGTCATGGAAATAGATTTCTATTCAAATCACCAAATACCTGACTTGGTAGACAAGGTTGATAGTAGCTTCATCCAATCGAGTTTTGGAAGATCTAAAACACCTGATGAATTATTTTCTGTAACACCACCACTAACCGGATCCACGATAACGAACACCGAGCCGGATTCTGTTATGGACTTTGCCGCCATATCCAATTCTTTAACTCCATTCCAGTCGGCAACAAATACATTTGGCGATTCGTCTTTAGACCCGATTAGTGCTAGTTTGTCAACACCAGTTGTTCCGTCCGGCTACGAAACAACTGAATATAGCAGTTACATACCCGGCATCTATCAAACTAATTCTACCCCTAATGAATCGTCTACTACCTTAGTTAAACCAATCATTTACTGCAACAGCTTGCTACTGCCCATGCTGGACATAACAATGGCTGCTTGTCAGCTACGACAACAAACTGGGGATTTCTTTTGTTTCGATGAATTTCGTTCTTGTAAGGATAGTTGTGGACAAAGTTTTCCAAGCACCTGTTCATGTGACGTATATTGTGAAATTTACGATAATTGCTGCGATGATTTTAAGGCCGTTTGCCCACATGTGTGGAACGAGTCTAAAGAAAGATTTTCCAGTCTTTTAGAAGTAAACGTAAGTTGTTTGAAATACAATCCAGGATATTTGGTGATTGCCAGCTGTCCGCCCAACACGAATACAACAGAGGAATACAAATGTCAGCACGATAGTGAGATGCCAATTTCAGTTGATAATTTCCATTTTAAAAATATTCACTGTCTACGATGTAACAGCTTCAAAGATGAAAACTCCATACTCTGGTCCGTGGATGTTTCGGTGTATTTTGAAGACTTTGCGGAGGAAAACGCTTTCTTTATCGGGGACGGCGTTTTCGAACATTTATCCAACACAGGTGTATTTGCTTGGAAGACTCCCACATCAGCAAACAATTTACATACGTGTAACCACGCAATGATAAGCAGCTGTCCGCCTGGTACTAATTCTGACCTACAAGATAAATGTCGAGCTATTCACGCACCTGTTACGGTAGTAGAAACAACTCCCGGTGCTAATAAAACATGGGCGACAAGTCTTTACGGAAATAAATATTGCGCTGAATGTAACGTGGTGTTGTCTTACGTTTGCGTTGGATCAACACGTAAGTATCGTATAACTAATCAAGGCCATGGTCGATTTAGCAACATAATTAACTGGCATATAAGCGACAACATAACAATTTTATCCTCCGGCCCTATGTCTCAATGGAAAACAATGTCATGCAATGGTAATAATTTTGACTTGATGTCAACGGTATGCAAAATGGAGGTATGTCATAGCGATATTGATATCGTGAATAATAAATGCTCGATTTCGTTACTTCCACATTGTGCCAAATTCACCTTGAAATTAGGCCTACATCAAAGTGAAGAACCCACGTGTACAAATGCCACGTGTCTCCATCCTTTGTTTCATACGATAATGGAAACATTGATTAATGCCACAAATAGTAATTATTCGGGCATGTCACTTGAAGAGATGGCCATAAACACCACTAACGTCCAACTGTCGTTCCACATGAAGTTTAAGAGGAATCAGGGTAACTACGAAGCCCCCACTT